CCTCTGTCCCTCCCTCACTTGCTCTCTCTCTCTCTCAAAATAAATAAATGAATAAATAATCTTAAAACTTCATCCAAATTGAAAAGAAAGAAGTAAAACTCACCACTTGTAAGTAATGGGACTCTATCTATCATCTATCTATCTATCATCTATCTATCATCTATCTATCTATCTATCTATCTATCTATCATCATCTATCTATGTATATATGCCAGATATCTATATAGATATATATAGATATCCTTAAACTCCACAAAATACTATTAGAACTAATCAATAAATTTAGTAAAGCTACAGGATACAAAATAAATATACAAAAATGTGTTGCATTTCTATACACTAATATTGAGCTTTCATAAAAAGAAATTAAGAAAATAATCCCCTTTCCAATTACATCAAAAAGAATAAAATACCTAGGAATAAATTTGACCAGAGGATGAAAGACATGTACTCTGTAAACTAGAAAACATTGATGAAAAATACTGAAGAAAAACACAGATATTCCATGCTCATGAATGGAAACAATTTGATATTTTAAAAATAGTCATACTACCCAAAACAACATACAGATTTAATGCAATCTCTGTCAACATTTCTATGGAATTTTGCACAGAAATAGAACAAACTATCCTAAAGTTTCTATGGAATCACAAAAGACCTTGAATACTGAAAGCAATCTTGAGAAAGGTGAAGCTGGAAGTATCTCACTCCCTGATTTCAACCTTTATTACAAAGCTATAGTAATAAAAAAAAAAGTATGGTGTTGGCATAGACACATAAATCAATAGAATATAATAGAGAACCCCAAAATAAGCCCATGCATTTATGGTCAACTAATTTAGGTCATAGGAACCGAGAGTATACAAAGGGGAAAGATAGTTTCTTCAGTAGATGATATTGGAAAACTGAACAGCACATGCAAAAAATGAAATTGGATCACTCTTTTAAACCTTACGTAAACATTAGAATGTATTAAAGAGTTGAATAAAAAACCTGAAACTCCTAGAAGAAAACAGGTGGTAAGCTACATGACATCAGTGTTCGTAATGATTTTTTTGGATTGACAGCAAAGGCAACAAAAGCAAAAACAATTAGGACCACATCAAACTCAAAAGCTTCTGCTCAGCAAAGAAAACCAGCAACAAAAGGAAAAAACAACATACTGAATGGGTTAAAATATTTGCAAATCATATATCTGTTTAGAGGTTAATATTCAAAATATATAAAGACTCATGCATCTCAATAGCAAACAAACCTAAATAATCTGATTAAATATTAGTAGAAGATCCAAATAGACATTTTCCAAAAAAACAGATGTCAAAGAGGTACTTGAAAAGGTACTTCACATAACCAATCACCATAGAAATGTAAATCAAAACTACACTGAGATTATAACTTGATCTTGCTAAATATCTACTATCCAAAAGAGAAGTTACAAGTGTTGGAGAGGTTGTGGAGAAAAATGAATCCTTGTGCACTGCGCCAGAAATGCAACTAATGCACCCACTATGGAACACAGTTTAGAGGTTCATAAAAAAATTAAAAAATAAATTACCATATGATCCAGCAATTCAATTTCTGGATATTTATCTGAAGAACACAAAAACACTAACTCAAAAAGATATATGCATTCCCATGTTCATTGCAACATTTATAATAGCCAAGCTGTGAAAACAACCTAAGTGTCCATTAATGGATGAATAGATAAAATGTGGTGTGTGTGTGTATGTGTGTGTTATTATTTAGCCATAAAAAAGAAATGTTGCTATTTGCAACAACATGGATAGACCTTGAAAGTGTTCTACTAAATAAAATACGTCAGAAAGCAAAAGACAAATATTGTATGATCTCACTTTTTTTAAAGATTTTTATTTATTTATTAATGAGAGACACCCACAGAGAGAGGCAAAAGACACAGGCAGAGGGAGAAGCAGACTCCTCGCAGGAAGCCAGATGTGGGACTTGATCCCTGATCTCCAGGATCACACCATGGGTTGAAGGCGGCGCTAAACCACTGAACCCCTCGGGCTGCCCTGATCTCACTTTTATGTGGGATAAAAAATGAGTTCATTGATGGAGGAAACAGATTGTTGATTGCCAGAGGTGAGGGGCAGGGGGTGAACAAGATGGGTGAAGTGGGTCAAAAGGTATAAACTCTCAGTTATAAAATAAGTAAGTCATGGGATGTAATGTATAGCAGCTAACTGTAGTTAATACTATATTGCGTACCTGAAAATTGCTGAGAGATTTTTAAAGTTCTCATCACAAGGAAGAACAATTTGTAACTATATAGTGATGGATGTTAACTGAACTTATTGTGGTGATTATTTTACAATATATACAAATATCAAATCATGATGCTGTACACCTAAAAGTAATATAATGTTATATACCAATTATATATCAATTTTTAAAAAAAGCAAGCATCTGGACAGTTCCAAACACAGGATTTCATGATCCATAATTAAGTTTCAAAGTAGTAAACAGGGACACCTCGGTGGCTCAGCGGTTTGGCACCTCCCTTCAGCCAAGGGCGTGATCCTGGGGTCCCAGGATCGAGTCCCGCATCAGGCTCCCTGCATGGAGCCTGCTTCTCCCTCTGCCTGTGTCTCTGCCCCTCTCTCTCTCTGTGTCATTAATAAATAAATTAAAAAAAAAAAGGCACTTAACAGCGAGCCACCCAGGCGTTCCCCATCCTACTACTTTGAATGAGTATATGGATTAATTCTAATATCCTCTTCTCAAAAAAATGTGGCTAATAAAAATTCTCATTACTATCACTTCATTTGATCTAAATATTTAAAATAATCTTATACCCTTTTCATTATTTTATAGCAGGTTCTAAATTACATGTACACTTATGAGAGATTACAATAACAATTGGATGTTGCTATGCCCTGGAAACAAAGATAAATAAGATAAAATACATCATGAAATCCATGCAGTAGTGTAGATTAAAAAAAAAACTATTAAGAGCAATATATTTTCTCATGAAAGTTTTGAGATATAGAGTATATTATTATTATTATTATTTATTATTATTATTATTATTGAAATACTATATGGAAATTTTCACCCTATACATCATTACCAAACATAGCAGACATATTCCTTTCTGGTGAAAAATAAATCCTCACTAAAAATTTCATAGGACTCCTTCTATATCTGTTAGCATCCTGTGATAGAGTATATTGACACTAAATTATGAGTAATATTTTAGAGGTGAGAAATATTTATGATGCTATAAGCAATGTAAAACAAGAAAACATCAAGATTAAGTCAACTCTAAAGCAATTAATAGGTATATTATCCAAAAAAATCTCTGTGAATTATGCCATTTTCAGAACAAAGAATGTTCACATTTTATTAATGCAGTAAAAAACTATAAAATTTTATCATTGTAAGATATAATACAAAATAAATGTATATTTGAAATCCACTGACAATCATTTCTCCATAAAACTTGTAATGAGAGCTTTTTAAATATAATAATAACTAAATAAGGCATAAGTGCCATAGCTACAAATAGCTACTTGTAGTAACAAATTGAATATTAAATATAAAAACACAGTATAAAATTCTTTTACTAATGAAAACCAAGGTAATGATCAAAAATGGAAGAAATTTGAAGACAGTGAGACTATATTATAGAATATATAGAAGATCACATTATTCTAAAGATTTCTGAGTGTTCTTCAATTTCCACAGCTCAAGGATACCATTGATAAAATTGCAGTTTTATTTAAAGTGGAAGAAATCAATTTCACAGGTAGATTTTTATTGAAAACAGCTTAGTATTGAATAAATACATTATCCAAACTCAATACAACTGTTGTACTTTTTAAAAACTGATATTTCGTGCAAATGACTAGAAGTTACTGTTAAGCCTTACAAAATATTATGTATGAGAGCTAAAGGCAGGAACATTAACTCTAATGTGTAATATAATTTCAGAAATATATTTTTAAAAGTTAGTTTATAATTTAAAAGACCAAAGACACAGTATGATAGATAACCACAGAATAAAATTGAAGTGGAAAATAGGATTACATATACTGAAATGTGGTAAAGAAGCAAGTTATTTGAAACATATAAGCAAAACTAATTTCAAAGTTATAAAGAATATCTGATATACATAGTGATTATGGGCAAAAATACTATATTATAGACTTCATAGTTCCTAAGAGTCCAGAACTTAATTGTTCTCCCTACAAAAAAGAAATAGCAATCATGTGTTAGCTAACACTAAGATAAGTAATCATATTGCAATATATAAATGTATACTTTAAACCTATGCAATATTATATGTCAATTATATCTCAATAAATAACATTTGAAAAAAGAACATCCCTGAAAACAAAATTATAGAAGAAATTACTAAAGAATAAATGAGATATTAAATTCAGAAATAATTCTTACAGAAGAAATTTGGAAAATAATATCTTTGGTAATTAAGCAAATTAATAAATTAATTAAAATAAGTCAAATTATTTTATTTAAAATGTCCATGAGGACAGATTTAAATTTTTTGTTTTATTCTCAAAAAAACCTATATGATTCACACAAATTTTCATTATATTGATTTTAAAATGTAAATTTAAATTTTTAAAAGCATACAAGTATATAAAATACAGAAAGCAAAAACAAAAATCTGTTCAGTTTTCACATTCATAATTTCCTTTTTTCCCCTTAGTATTAATAAAATCCATCTAAAATATTTCCTTAGGCCTAAAGGAAACAATAATGACTAAAACCATCTGGAAAATAATTATTTATAATTTCTTTGTCACTCTGTGCAATAAATAGTACTTTACAGGCTCCGTTTTCAGTTTTATTGCCACATTAAATAAAAATCTATGAACTTTATTTCTTACTACCATTTCCAGGGTGGTCTCTGTTTAGCAAAACAAACAAGTAAGAATATACCCTAGATTCATTACAAAATATGGTAAGATAAAGACCAACTTTTAGGGGATCCCTGGGTGGCGCAGCGGTTTGGCGCCTGCCTTTGGCCCAGGGCGCGATCCTGGAGACCCGGGATCGAGTCCCACGTCGGGCTCTCGGTGCATGGAGCCTGCTTCTCCCTCTGCCTGTGTCTCTGCCTCTCTCTCTCTCTCACTGTGTGCCTATCATAAATAAATAAATAAAAAATTAAAAAAAAAATAATAATTAAAAAAAAAAGACCAACTTTTATAATCTGGCTATAAACTCTTTCTATGTTAATTTGTAGCAAATCAAGGCAGGCAACTTCTACAAAAACATTACAAAATATAAATTTAAACTAATTTACATTTAAATGAAACATATCTATCAAGTTAAAATTTGTACAAAATGTGCATTGTCAACAATTTGGTAACTAAGTCCTTTATCAGTCAAACCCTGAACAAGTTTTGAATTCCGTTGTCTCTTTCTCCCTCAGTATGTCCCTCTTTCTTTCCTCCTCTCTCCCAGCACAGAAAGTTTTTGTTACTCCTGTCTTTGCCTCCATGGTTAGACTATATAGATCATATTTTGAATGTTTTGTTAAGTGTCTATAAAATTTTGGCATCTGTATGTACTATTTAACCAGTATATCCCTCTTTCTCCCAAACAGCAACAAGAATATATTAATCTTTATTTATAGCTACCAATATTTTATCAAATTTTGCAGAATATTCCCTTTGAATCTTCTTTTTTACATTTTCTTAAGTTTGTAAGTTTAAAACTAATTCCCATTGCAATTCATTATTTCAATTTACCCATTTATTGAACAGTTTCTTTGCTCATACATATTTCTTATAAATCAATGTTGATTTCTGGTTTTAATTTATTTATATTAATAATACACCTAAGATGATAGTCACCCCTTTTCTTTTTTAATTTATAAAATATATCTTATTCCTATGTAGCCTTGAATTTCCTTGGGATATAATCTTATTTTTAATTTACTGCAGCAACTTTTCTTCATCAATGTTTAGTTTTCTCATATATTTCTATTATTTTCATTGTCATGATTTTGCCACATTTATAGTGGTTTTTAAGCATCTGTCAGTGATAAACGATGTCAGTAGTCCTGCAGCACTTTTTATGTTTAATTCCTACTTGCAGTTCCTAAACCATAAGACAGCAAGAAGTAGAAAAGACTGTCCATTTCTCTTGAGTATGATAATTTCACCAACAGAGAGATAAACTTCGTCTACTTCTCTGAACTATTGGAAAATTGTTTTAGTCTGTGATAACAGTGTTTTAAGGTGAACTCTAAACAAAAGCTATAAGTCTATACCCATTTATTTCTATTTTCAGTCTACAATCTTTTCACATTTTCACCTCCTTTTAAAGCATTTCTAAACAAATATACATTACCTCTTTAATTTCAAAGTCTATTTACCAATTTAATAAGCATAGCCAAACAGTATTGTGGTGAATTTAATACAAAAATAGAAATGCTAGAGACCTTCTTTTGCTATTTTGTCCAAACTACTTTTACATTCAGCCAGAGACTTCTTGATCATGGCTTTCTTATATAATAATTATGAATATTCTCATTTATATTTTTGGACAATCTTATCATCATTCATATTTCTTTTAGAATATTACTTTTCCTTATTATTCTACACAAATGTTTCCTCTAACTCATATTTAACAACTACTTTTATTTTCCCATCCTTATTGGGGTAGCCAGCCTTATTTTTCTGACATCCTATAAGGAATATACCTGCCCACCACAGAAGGATTAAGTGATTTTTAGATATTTTCCTTGATGCTGAAGTTTTTCTTTCCAACTTTACACCAGTTACTATTTGAATATAGCCTATAGCAATTTGCCTATTTGAATTTACCTATAGCAAATTTCTATTCTCTATACTAATGTTTAAATGAAAATAAATTTATTTTCTAACTTTTGTACATTATCTCCCTTACTCATGAGATTTTCTAGGATATTCAGTGTTTAGGATGAAAGTTTAACTATCTTCAATTATAAGAGATATATCACATGACTTCACTTATGTGTGGAATTTAAGAAACAAAACAGATGAACATAGGGGAAATAAAATTCAAAAAGGAGGTAAAACCATTTAAGAGAACTATAGAGAACAAACAGGATTGTTGGAGGGGAAGTAATCAAGGGGATAGGTTAAATGAGAGGTGGGTATTAAGGAGGGTACTTGTGATGAGCATTGACTATTGTAAGTAAAGAATTGCTAAATTCTACTCCTGCAACTAATATTATGTTGTATGTTAACTAACTAGAATTTAAATAAAAACTTGAAACAATTGGCGCCTGCCGTTGGCCCAAGGCGCAATCCTGGAGACCCGGGATCGAGTCCCACATCGGGCTCCCAGTGCATGGAGCCTGCTTCTCCCACTGCCTGTGTCTCTGCCTGTGCCTCTGCCTCTCTCTCTCTCCCCCCCCCCCTCTCTCTCTCTCTATCATAAATAAATTTAAAAAAAAATTAAAAAAAAACTTGAAACTATAAAAAAAAGAAAAAATAACGGAAAATGAAAAAAAATTTAAGGACATTTTAAAAAACCACTTATCACTGACAGGTATACACTACAGGAAAAGCTAGAGGAAAATTAAGAGCATTCTTCTAGCAGGAAGAGGATAATTCAAAACGGATATTTGGAAATGATGAAGTAAATGAAGATTAACTGTAGTAATAATGTGGATAAATATAATAAAATGATAACTTATAAAATAAAAGTGACGTCAAATGTACTTGAAATATATTAGTATTAAATCACACCAAAAAGCATAGCATATATATTAGTAGGGAATAAAAATAGTTAAAATGTTAGTTTATTATATAATATGTTAAGAGGAAAAAAGTGCTAATTAATGCTCTATTTTATTACTCAGGATAAATATAGTAATATTTAGAGCAAACTGAAAAATAGTAAAAAAAAGTAAATGACTTCTGAGTTAATGGTAGAAAATGCAGAATAATCAGTCATTTTAATAGAAGAAATGGAACAGGCAAAGCAGAAAGTATGTGCAATGCAGAAGTTTTAAGTTCAACAGATCAGCAATAATAATAACAAATTGACTAAATACTCAACCTAAAAGATAAAGATTACAAGACTATTTTTAAAAAAAGCAAATTCCAGATATAAATTATTTTGTTATTTACAAGAAAAATATCTAAAAATAGGTATCAAATAGTATGATTTTTTAAAAAAATTTAAAAAGTTAGACAAAAGAAACTCAAAATAAAGAAAATGTAGTTGTATTTCAGAAAAAAAAGACTTTAGTCAATATTCTTTATTCAAGATAAGAAGATGCTTCAGAATCATAACATTTTCAATTGACCAAGAAGACACAGCATTTCTAAATAAGTATGTACCTGCTGACCCTGTCTTATTTTTATACAACAAAAGTGCACAAAACTATATGGACAAATAGACAAAATTAATAAGATTAAAAAATACATCTCTCCATAACTATTTAAAGAATTATTTCCAAAATATGTTAAATGTATTTTTTAAACTCAAGAAGTAAATTCATCTTAGTAAACAAATACAAAATATGGTACCCACCATGGTAGAATGGACCGAATCTTAAAAAAAAAAAAAAAAAAAAGAAAAAGAAAAAGAAAAAGAAAAAGAAAAAGAAAAAGAAAAAAAAAGATCATATATGTTATGTTCTCTGGCCAAAATTCAATTACTCTAGAAAAAAAAAATAACAAGAACACACTATAAAATATCCCTATATTCAAAATAACTTATAGGACAAAGGAAAAAAGCACTGGCACCAGAAAAATTTTGAATTGATACCAAAAATATTACATGTCACAATTGTGACATTCAGGTGAAGTACAGAATTTATGTCTTTCAATGTGTATATCAGAAAACAAGACAGGTAGAAAACAAATAAATATTTATCTCAGGAAAGTATAAAAAGAACAATAAAATCTGTAAAGTAAATAGAGAAAAATAATCATAAGAGCAGAAGTTAATGAAATAGACGACAAACAGAATAGAGTATTCACAGAACAAAATATTTATTCTTTGAAAGGCAAAAATAAAGGTAAACATCTTGTAAGACTGATTATTCAAAAAAATAATATAATGTAAAGAATATAAGGGGTTGTCATTAAAGATTATACTAATATTAAGATGATAATAAGATGTTACAATCTTATGTTAATAAAATTTAAATTACAGATAAAAGCATATATTCCTTAAAAAATACTGTATCCTATCTGATAAAAGAGAAGAAAATATGATACAATTTTTGATATTCAAAACTGTATAGATTTTAAATCACTTAAATAAAAATTCTACCAGGGTTTGTCATGCATTTGAAGAGTAAAACCTTAAAAAAAAAAAAGTAAAACTTTAAAAGTATGCTATTTGTGGGTATCACTTTTTGTGGTAAAACTATAAAGAAAAGCAATCCAGGACAGTGGTTATCTTTGGGTGACAAAGGAAAATATGATTAGTGGAAAGCACAGAGGGGTTTCAAAGATATATGGTTTGTATTAACCACACATTCAATTTTTAAATTATTGCTTTAAAATTGAATATAGATGTTCTATTACATCTTGTATGTAAACTTTGAATACCATTAAATGTATTTTTTTTATTTTTTTTCTTCATAGAACTGGGCAATACTTAGTAAGTGATGAATAAATTCTACTCCAGAAACTAAAATTACACTGTATATTAATTAATTACTAGGGTTTAGATAAAAACTTGAAACATTAAAAAAAGAGAAAGACATTATCAAATTGCTCTTTAGTAAGAGTGTATCAAATTAACCTAAACTTTCAGTTTCTATTGATCAAAATCTCCTCTAATGCTCTATATTTGCAAAATTAAAAATATATATCTATCAAATATGTGTGAAAAGTCTTAATTTTTTACCTTCATGATCACTATTCAATTTGAGCATTTTCTTAACTGCCAAGTAACTACAAAAGTAGATTTATTTTGAGCAAATTTTTCAGATATCGAATTAAATTTTTATAAAGATAAATGTTGATTATGTCATATATATTTACAAAATTGGCAGAAAATGTAAATAAGGATTTTGAATTTTTAGTATCTGATTACTGTATCTATTGCTGTACTGGCTACAGGATTTTTCAGATTTATTAATAATTTTCCTGAGAATGGCATAGTTAAGATTTAGGATTATTTTTGT